ACAGACATTTCTTGGTCCTACGCCTTCCACAGAATATATAAATACGTTTAGACCACTTAACTTAATGCTCATTCCATTAATGGTCATGCTTCCCCAGGGACCGGCCGTCCACTGCATTGTGATGTGCTGTAATAGCAGCAACATACACTTTCAAGGGGGAGGGTGACAGCCTATGCTCCAACCTTTCTTGCAGGAAAGAAAGCACGACTCTAATCGAGCATCTCCGGGGGTCTTCTCAGTGAGAAGAACACTAATTCGTGAACAGACTCCACTTCAAAGAATAGACCTGCCTCGTAGAAGGAGCTCTAGCCTGAGTGATAGTGTCTACCACCGCTGGTGGCAGATCACTTAGGTCTGCCGCGTCCTGTCCAGAAGCCACACGTGGAGGTGCCATATGGTGCTCAGCCCCTGAAAAAGGAGGTCCTTCCTCAGGGGGATGCGCCAGGGAGGGGCTGTCACAAGGAGCATGAGTTCTGAAAACCAGGTCCGGGTGGGCCAGAAAGGCACAACTAACAGGACCTGTTCCTCGTCCTCCCTAACCTTGCAAGTAGGCTCACTGGGGGAAACGCATACTTGCTTAGAGCCCGAGGCCAGCTTTGTGCCAGTGTGTCCGTGCCCAAGGGGGCCTGGGTCAGGGAATAGTACAACTGGCAGTGGGAGGACTCGTGGGAAGCAAACAGGTCCAAACAGGTTTTGAGCTTCCCCAAATCGACTCCAGATCAGCTGAACCATCTGGGGGTGGAGTTGCCCTTCTCCGGGGAAAGTGAGCTGTCGTGAGAGCGCGTTGGCCGCATGATTGAGCTCCCCTGGTATGTGGACGGCGTGCAGCGATTTGAGCCTCGTCTGACTCCAGAGGAGGAGATGGCGGGCGAGTTGAGACATGCGATGTAATCGTAGACCGCCCTGACGGTTGATGTATGATGGCTCGATGCACTGGCCTCTACGATGTCTCAGCATGGAGCGGAGCCGGTGTGAAGGACACAAGAGGGCGCCCACGGCGACGATCAGGCTGAGACACGGCCCGCGACAAAACGGTGGCAGCTGGAAGATCACGTCGTGGCAAGATGTGCTGTATGGCCTCAGTCTGCTGTTGTATTGCCGAGAACTGCTGGACACAGCCCTCGACAGTGTCGCCGCACAGGCCAGCCTGGGAGATGGGAGCATCAAGAAAGGGCACTTTGTCAACGTCTCTCATCTCGACCAGGCTGAGCCAGAGATGGCGCACCTGGACCACCAGAGTGGACATCGCCTTCCTGAGGGACCACGTTGTGACTTCCGTCGCCCGGAGGGCGAAGTCAGTCGCCGTGCGCAGCTCCTGCATCAACCTCGGGTCAGTACTACCCTCGTGCATTTGTTAAGGCCTTGGCTTGGTGAAATTGCAGGATCGCCATGGCATGCAGGGCAGAGGCAGCTTGGCCCGCAGCACTCTAAGCTTTGGCAGCGAGAGCCGCCGACAGCTTACAGGCTTTGGATGCGAGACACGGACTATTCCTCCAAGTGGCTGCGTTTTGCGGACACAGGTGCACCCGCAATCGCTCTATCCTCCTGGGGAATGTCGACGCACCCCCTAGCCACCCCACCATCGAGGGTAGTGAGGACGGAGGAAGGAGACGAGCAGCTTCTGGCTGTAAAAGGGGTCATCCACGACTACGTCACTTCCTCATGCACCTCCGGGAAGAAAGGAACCAGAGCAGAACGCGGTTGGGAACCATGCTGTACACCGAGAAACCATACGTCCAGCTGCGAGCACTCAGGGCTGGGCAGTGTATTCACCTCCAACCTGATGCTCACAGCTGCCCGGGCAAGCACGACTGTCAACTCTGGGTCCGATTCAGCAGTGGCGACAACACCCGAGGGGGCAGCCCCGCCAAATCTTCATCCACAGAGGTCAATAGCCCATCCCCCAATGCTGCATTAGTGGGGTAGTGACAGAGGGGTCTGCTCCTTTCCCTTTAAGAACAGAGAGACACGATCGCAGCGTTGTCATGGTCACGTACTCGCAGTGCGGGCATGAACCATCCAAGAACGCGTCTTCAGCGTGCTAAATAACCAGACACGGAAGACAACGCTCGTGGCCTTTGTCAGAGGACAGGAAACGACCGCAAACAGAAGGACACGGATGATACGGTGTGTTTAAAAAGATGCGAATCGTCCGTGATTTGCTCTTTTAGGAAATCTGCTCTTTTAGGTTGAAGCACCCCGGGGAATCGCTGAAAGGGACACCACTGTTCACGCCGTACCGCCAACCAGAACAGCTTCCCGACACACAGCAGATGAATGGCTTTGTGGAGTATAACAGCTTTTCATACAACCACTTGGCTCTGAAGCAAAAATCTAATGAGTGGATGCACGCTGTCGCCTTATATACCCGTGTGCACAGGGAGTGGCTCAGCATGCAAAATCCACAAGCCAATTCTCATTGCCATTTTCTCTTAAACTCAGAGATGATTGGGCTCCCAAGTCAGACCCCATAATGTCGTTCGACATAACTCGTAGTGACCGACAGATAGGGAACAAGTAAAGACTGTATTGTATGTAATTGGTGAGCACTTTTTTCATATTTCCTTAAATCATTTGAAGGGTGAAGGATAAAAATCTTGTTTTTGTTACATATTATCTTAATGTTAAATTATTTAACTCTGTGTTCTCGATCAATCACTCACAAGTTTAGTTATTTAACAGGCACATTTACGGTACATAGTAATGCTCCATGTGCTACATTTTTTACACCAAATTGGGTGTGTACTAAGATTATTATTTTGATAAAGCAAGATTATCCATAATCGCTGATTGTTTATTATAGCGAACGTCTCATCTACATTTCATGCAGAAGTAACATTGGATGTAGGAATAGTCTGTAGTTGTGGGAAATTAAACCTGGTGTACCATACAAAGGCAGTTTCCATGTTAAGTTAGGGTTAGATGGTAGAAAATGCATCATGACCATATACAGAACAAAGATAATATATGTTGTAATACACTGATAAGGCAAAACATTATGACCGCTCATAGGTGAAATTAATACTGTTAATCATCTCATTTAAAAGTCTCATGTAAAGGACTGGGTAATTTATAGGGTAAATGAGCAACCAGTTGGTGCAGGAGAAATGGCCAGGAATAAAGATCTGAGTGACTTTGACAAGGGACAAATTGTTGTGGCCAGACAACTGTGTCAGAGCATCTCTGAAACAACTAAGCTTGTGGGATACTTATGATCAGCATTTGTAAGAACCTACTAACAGTGTTCCGAGGAGGGACAAACCACAAATCGGTGGTTGTTCCGTCTGGACCAAACAAAACAGAATAGTCTTATGTGGTGACAATTTTAATGATGGCTAAAGGAGCAATATTCACGACACTGTTCACAATGTTCACATCGCATAGCACCCTGATGCATATGGGCCTGTGTAGGTGCAGACTCTTCAGAGTGCCCATGAATGACCCCTGTCCACAGCCGAAAGCCCCTAGAACTGAACTTTGAAGAAGTGAATGAAGGTTGCCTGGTCTGATGAATCACGTGAATGGTTGTATACAACATGTCCACTGTTTACCTTTAATGGCACCAGGATAAACTGTGGAAAGATGACAAGCTGGTTGAGGGCCTGTGATGCTCTGGACAATGTTCTGCTGGGAAACCCTGTGTCTGGACATTTGTGTGGCCATCAATTTGACACATGTCACCTACCTAAAACTCATTGCAGAGCAGGTACATCAGGGGTCTCCAGACCTGTTCTTGGAGGGCCGCTGTTCTGCAGAGTTTAGCGCCAACCTTAATTAAACACACCTGAACCAGCTAATTAAGGACTTCAGACTCACTAGAAACCTTCATCGAATTGTGCTGAAGCTGGTTGAAGCTAAATTCTGCAGGATGTTGGCCCTCATGGCAATGATGTTCCATTACGGCAGTGGGCTCTTTCAGCAGGATATTGCACCTGCTACACTGCACACTGTTCAGGAATGATTTGAGGAACATAAAGGTGTTGTCCTGATCTCCAAATTCTTCAGATGGTAATCTGATTGAGCATCTGGGATATGCTGGACCAACCAGTCCAATGCATGGCAGCTCCACCTGGCAAGTTGAGGACTTATAGGAAGTGTGCTTAGTAATGCTTGATTGCAAAGAAGAAGACTGACCAACTGCAACGAGAGACTAGAAGAACAGTGTGGAGAAGACGTCAGAGGAAAAGCAATCCCTGAAGACATCTACAGGTTAACAGGCTACAGGTGCTGCAGAAATTGGACTTCCTGTTACAGGATACAAACACCGTCACCAGAGAGAAGATGAAGATGCATGGGTTAAAACCACAACTGCTGCTGAAGAGTGAATGGATCAACAGAGACCATTGTTATATGTGCACAAAGATACTGGAAACCCTACTGAGGGCTTGTGAATTGTTTATTAGTCAGTTTTGCTCTATTCGGCCATGATCTGTGCAGTTAACTATATTTTTGTATGTATACTATATTATGTTATACTGGACTCTGTTGCTGACACCCCTGCTTAAATCAAACCAGGCATTCTCCACACTTCTTAACAGTTGTGCCGTTTGTGTGGTAGATCCAGCAGTATGAGATGAAGGGGGACAGGAGAGGATTCTGTCTAATCATCAACAACTATGACTTTCGTGCATGCACACTGGGGAACAGAGAAGGAACAGATATTGACAAAGGTTAGTGTAACAAACACACATATATAAACCAGTTATCAGGCACACACGTGCCAGTAGGCCAATCGAGTCTCCCTACACTCAAACCAATTAAATATTTGTAAATATATGCATATTTTGCAATAAACTTAAATATAATAAATAGTTTTTATAATATAATCACCATCTTTAAATCAAATGTTGTGATTCACCTCATAGCTGGTTGGTTTGGTTCATGGCTTATAAATCTTAAATGATTTTTTGTAAAATCCCTATGGAGAAAATTAGTGGAAAAAATACTCACAGAACCAACTCAGCGGGACTACTGAGGGCTTGTGAATTGTTTATTAGTCAGTTTTGCTCTATTCGGCCATGATCTGTGCAGTTAACTATATTTTTGTATGTATACTATATTATGTTATACTGGACTCTGTTGCTGACACCCCTGCTTAAATCAAACCAGGCATTCTCCACACTTCTTAACAGTTGTGCCGTTTGTGTGGTAGATCCAGCAGTATGAGATGAAGGGGGACAGGAGAGGATTCTGTCTAATCATCAACAACTATGACTTTCGTGCATGCACACTGGGGAACAGAGAAGGAACAGATATTGACAAAGGTTAGTGTAACAAACACACATATATAAACCAGTTATCAGGCACACACGTGCCAGTAGGCCAATCGAGTCTCCCTACACTCAAACCAATTAAATATTTGTAAATATATGCATATTTTGCAATAAACTTAAATATAATAAATAGTTTTTATAATATAATCACCATCTTTAAATCAAATGTTGTGATTCACCTCATAGCTGGTTGGTTTGGTTCATGGCTTATAAATCTTAAATGATTTTTTGTAAAATCCCTATGGAGAAAATTAGTGGAAAAAATACTCACAGAACCAACTCAGCGGGAAAAAAAAAAAAGTGGGCAGGCACTAATGCACTCTGTTGCATTGCAGAGAAATCTGGCCAAAAAATAAGAGGTCACATGCACAAAGTCGCTGCTGTTGCATAACACTCCACTGTCCATTTGTGTCTGTACAGAAAGGCTGGAGGTTGTATTCAAGTGGTTGGGATTTGAGGTCCTGGTTGAACAGGACTGCAATCGCCATCAGATCCTGCAGGTGCTGAGGAACCTGGCTGCTCGTGACCACACGCCGGCGGATTGCGCGGTGTGCTGTGTGTTGAGCCATGGACGAGTAGAAGGCATCTGCGGGGTTGATGGAGAGATCGTAACCTTTAGGGAGCTGATAGAGACCCTGAGTCCAAATGAGTGTCCCTCTCTCTGCAAGAAACCCAAACTGTTCTTCATCCAGGCCTGCAGGGGTAACAACAATCAGCCAGCAGCATTTCCTCAAACTTGCTCAGAAGACGAGGACATGCTATTCAGCGATGCAGCTGTACCCAGAGACTCCATACCAGAGATGGCAGACTACCTGTTAGCCATGTCCACTGTACCACACTACGTCTCATACAGGGAAAAAAGCAGGGGAACCTGGTTTATACAGTCGCTCTGCCACAGCCTGCAGCTGCTGGTGCCAAGGTGAGCACTTCTCTCTAATGCCTTGTCCTCACTGGCTGTACTCGAAAGACTACACCCTGTCTGTTTAGATGCCATAGTGAATTCAACACGGATGAAAACGAGGCTGTGAGGGACAGACTTACAGTCTTTACAATGGCACGAACTGTATAAATCTCCTAGATCACGCAATTTTCACAACTTTTAAAACTATTTTATGGAGCTTTGGTCTACTGAAAGTAATTTTTTTTTTCAGAATGATGTTTTATCAGCTGAACAATCAGTATGTTGTTAAACAACAGCACAATCCATTGAACGCCCTGTACTTCAGTGCCTCGTTTTCATTCCTGTCAAAAATTAAATATGGCAATACCCTGACTACGGTCTGTAGCATATACTATGGCATACTGGGTTTGGAATTAGGGTTGTCACGGTGTCAGATCTTCACTGCAGTATTACTGTGGTCAAAATAATCCACAATAATGATATTATCGCAATATCTGTTGAAAGCTTGTGGGATACTTATGATCAGCATTTGTAAGAACCTACTAACAGTGTTCCGAGGAGGGACAAACCACAAATCGGTGGTTGTTCCGTCTGGACCAAACAAAACAGAATAGTCTTATGTGGTGACAATTTTAATGATGGCTAAAGGAGCAATATTCACGACACTGTTCACAATGTTCACATCGCATAGCACCCTGATGCATATGGGCCTGTGTAGGTGCAGACTCTTCAGAGTGCCCATGAATGACCCCTGTCCACAGCCGAAAGCCCCTAGAACTGAACTTTGAAGAAGTGAATGAAGGTTGCCTGGTCTGATGAATCACGTGAATGGTTGTATACAACATGTCCACTGTTTACCTTTAATGGCACCAGGATAAACTGTGGAAAGATGACAAGCTGGTTGAGGGCCTGTGATGCTCTGGACAATGTTCTGCTGGGAAACCCTGTGTCTGGACATTTGTGTGGCCATCAATTTGACACATGTCACCTACCTAAAACTCATTGCAGAGCAGGTACATCAGGGGTCTCCAGACCTGTTCTTGGAGGGCCGCTGTTCTGCAGAGTTTAGCGCCAACCTTAATTAAACACACCTGAACCAGCTAATTAAGGACTTCAGACTCACTAGAAACCTTCATCGAATTGTGCTGAAGCTGGTTGAAGCTAAATTCTGCAGGATGTTGGCCCTCATGGCAATGATGTTCCATTACGGCAGTGGGCTCTTTCAGCAGGATATTGCACCTGCTACACTGCACACTGTTCAGGAATGATTTGAGGAACATAAAGGTGTTGTCCTGATCTCCAAATTCTTCAGATGGTAATCTGATTGAGCATCTGGGATATGCTGGACCAACCAGTCCAATGCATGGCAGCTCCACCTGGCAAGTTGAGGACTTATAGGAAGTGTGCTTAGTAATGCTTGATTGCAAAGAAGAAGACTGACCAACTGCAACGAGAGACTAGAAGAACAGTGTGGAGAAGACGTCAGAGGAAAAGCAATCCCTGAAGACATCTACAGGTTAACAGGCTACAGGTGCTGCAGAAATTGGACTTCCTGTTACAGGATACAAACACCGTCACCAGAGAGAAGATGAAGATGCATGGGTTAAAACCACAACTGCTGCTGAAGAGTGAATGGATCAACAGAGACCATTGTTATATGTGCACAAAGATACTGGAAACCCTACTGAGGGCTTGTGAATTGTTTATTAGTCAGTTTTGCTCTATTCGGCCATGATCTGTGCAGTTAACTATATTTTTGTATGTATACTATATTATGTTATACTGGACTCTGTTGCTGACACCCCTGCTTAAATCAAACCAGGCATTCTCCACACTTCTTAACAGTTGTGCCGTTTGTGTGGTAGATCCAGCAGTATGAGATGAAGGGGGACAGGAGAGGATTCTGTCTAATCATCAACAACTATGACTTTCGTGCATGCACACTGGGGAACAGAGAAGGAACAGATATTGACAAAGGTTAGTGTAACAAACACACATATATAAACCAGTTATCAGGCACACACGTGCCAGTAGGCCAATCGAGTCTCCCTACACTCAAACCAATTAAATATTTGTAAATATATGCATATTTTGCAATAAACTTAAATATAATAAATAGTTTTTATAATATAATCACCATCTTTAAATCAAATGTTGTGATTCACCTCATAGCTGGTTGGTTTGGTTCATGGCTTATAAATCTTAAATGATTTTTTGTAAAATCCCTATGGAGAAAATTAGTGGAAAAAATACTCACAGAACCAACTCAGCGGGAAAAAAAAAAAAGTGGGCAGGCACTAATGCACTCTGTTGCATTGCAGAGAAATCTGGCCAAAAAATAAGAGGTCACATGCACAAAGTCGCTGCTGTTGCATAACACTCCACTGTCCATTTGTGTCTGTACAGAAAGGCTGGAGGTTGTATTCAAGTGGTTGGGATTTGAGGTCCTGGTTGAACAGGACTGCAATCGCCATCAGATCCTGCAGGTGCTGAGGAACCTGGCTGCTCGTGACCACACGCCGGCGGATTGCGCGGTGTGCTGTGTGTTGAGCCATGGACGAGTAGAAGGCATCTGCGGGGTTGATGGAGAGATCGTAACCTTTAGGGAGCTGATAGAGACCCTGAGTCCAAATGAGTGTCCCTCTCTCTGCAAGAAACCCAAACTGTTCTTCATCCAGGCCTGCAGGGGTAACAACAATCAGCCAGCAGCATTTCCTCAAACTTGCTCAGAAGACGAGGACATGCTATTCAGCGATGCAGCTGTACCCAGAGACTCCATACCAGAGATGGCAGACTACCTGTTAGCCATGTCCACTGTACCACACTACGTCTCATACAGGGAAAAAAGCAGGGGAACCTGGTTTATACAGTCGCTCTGCCACAGCCTGCAGCTGCTGGTGCCAAGGTGAGCACTTCTCTCTAATGCCTTGTCCTCACTGGCTGTACTCGAAAGACTACACCCTGTCTGTTTAGATGCCATAGTGAATTCAACACGGATGAAAACGAGGCTGTGAGGGACAGACTTACAGTCTTTATAATGGCACGAACTGTATAAATCTCCTAGATCACGCAATTTTCACAACTTTTAAAACTATTTTATGGAACTTTGGTCTACTGAAAGTAATTTTTTTTTTCAGAATGATGTTTTATCAGCTGAACAATCAGTATGTTGTTAAACAACAGCACAATCCATTGAACGCCCTGTACTTCAGTGCCTCGTTTTCATTCCTGTCAAAAATTAAATATGGCAATACCCTGACTACGGTCTGTAGCATATACTATGGCATACTGGGTTTGGAATTAGGGTTGTCACGGTGTCAGATCTTCACTGCAGTATTACTGTGGTCAAAATAATCCACAATAATGATATTATCGCAATATCTGTTGAAACTTTGAAAAAAAAAAATGCTATCAGCCAAACTGATCTTTAACTTCATTTTTTTGGCCAATGAATCGCACTTAAAATACGAGTGTAGGGAGGTGAAGTTTGTAATCATGACAGTTTCAAAAGCGCCCAAAAATAACTTACATTTGATAAGCTCTTCATATAGACTGGGGTGTCTAACAACCCATAAGGGTCAGTCATGACCTTTTCTGTTAAGGGGCAATATTTGAGACCTGAAATTAAGGACAGTTCTTCTAATTACCTTATTAAATTAAATATCTGTGCTGTGTTTTATCAAATACTTAAATTTGACCAATTACTTCAATCAGAATACTATAGACTTTGCTACAGATCCACTATAAACTACTGTTACCAATCAAGTTTTATAAACCTCAATAAAAGCCATCTCTACACTGGAAAGGTCAAACAGAAGCTGCATCTGACATGGCATTTATGTTTATTATTATGTTCAATGCTGTTCAAAGGTGGCATACATGTATTTACAAAAAAAAACAGTGTAAATAGCTTACATAAAGTATATAAATGAATGAAAACAAAGTCATTGAGGGTAGGGCTGCAATATTACGACAAAAATCATTATTGTCAATTATTGCTCGTTAATAATCATTATCAGTGTCCTCTTTTTAGAGCTGCTTTACAGCAGAATCGAATTTTGTTTGCATCATTGAAACATAATTTTCCTGTTTAACACTGTAAATCTGCTTTGACGCAATCTGAATTGCGATGTAAAAGAAAAAGTGATTCATCAGACCAGGCCACCTTCTTCCATTGCCCCATGGTCCAGTTCTGATGCTCACGTGCCCACTGTTGGGCTTTCGGCAGTTGGACAGGGGTCAGCATGGGCACCCTGACTGGTCTGCAGCTATGCAGCCCCATACGCAACAAACTGTGATGCACTGTGTGTTCTGACACCTTTCCATCAGAACCAGCATTAACTTCTTGAGCAGTTTGAGCTACAATAGCTTGTCTGTTGGATCAGACCACACGGGCCAGCCTTTGCTCCCCACGTGCATCAACCCTGTTGCCAGTTCACCAGTTTCTTCCTTGCACCACTTTTGATAGATACGGACCACTGCAGACCAGGACACCCCACAAAAGCTGCAGTTTTGGAGATGCTGACTCTGACCCAGTCGTCTAGCCATCACAATTTGTCCCTTGTCATACTCGCTCAAATCCTTACTCTTGGCCATTTTTCCTGCTTCTGACACATCAACTTTGAGGACAAAATGTTCACTTGCTGCCTAATATATCCCACCCGCTGACAGGTGCTGAGAGATAATCAGTGTTATTCACTTCACCTGTCAGTGGTCATAATGTTATGCCTGATAAAAAAAAAAAGTGGGCAGGCACTAATGCACTCTGTTGCATTGCAGAGAAATCTGGCCAAAAAATAAGAGGTCACATGCACAAAGTCGCTGCTGTTGCATAACACTCCACTGTCCATTTGTGTCTGTACAGAAAGGCTGGAGGTTGTATTCAAGTGGTTGGGATTTGAGGTCCTGGTTGAACAGGACTGCAATCGCCATCAGATCCTGCAGGTGCTGAGGAACCTGGCTGCTCGTGACCACACGCCGGCGGATTGCGCGGTGTGCTGTGTGTTGAGCCATGGACGAGTAGAAGGCATCTGCGGGGTTGATGGAGAGATCGTAACCTTTAGGGAGCTGATAGAGACCCTGAGTCCAAATGAGTGTCCCTCTCTCTGCAAGAAACCCAAACTGTTCTTCATCCAGGCCTGCAGGGGTAACAACAATCAGCCAGCAGCATTTCCTCAAACTTGCTCAGAAGACGAGGACATGCTATTCAGCGATGCAGCTGTACCCAGAGACTCCATACCAGAGATGGCAGACTACCTGTTAGCCATGTCCACTGTACCACACTACGTCTCATACAGGGAAAAAAGCAGGGGAACCTGGTTTATACAGTCGCTCTGCCACAGCCTGCAGCTGCTGGTGCCAAGGTGAGCACTTCTCTCTAATGCCTTGTCCTCACTGGCTGTACTCGAAAGACTACACCCTGTCTGTTTAGATGCCATAGTGAATTCAACACGGATGAAAACGAGGCTGTGAGGGACAGACTTACAGTCTTTATAATGGCACGAACTGTATAAATCTCCTAGATCACGCAATTTTCACAACTTTTAAAACTATTTTATGGAACTTTGGTCTACTGAAAGTAATTTTTTTTTTCAGAATGATGTTTTATCAGCTGAACAATCAGTATGTTGTTAAACAACAGCACAATCCATTGAACGCCCTGTACTTCAGTGCCTCGTTTTCATTCCTGTCAAAAATTAAATATGGCAATACCCTGACTACGGTCTGTAGCATATACTATGGCATACTGGGTTTGGAATTAGGGTTGTCACGGTGTCAGATCTTCACTGCAGTATTACTGTGGTCAAAATAATCCACAATAATGATATTATCGCAATATCTGTTGAAACTTTGAAAAAAAAAAATGCTATCAGCCAAACTGATCTTTAACTTCATTTTTTGGCCAATGAATCGCACTTAAAATACGAGTGTAGGGAGGTGAAGTTTGTAATCATGACGGTTTCAAAAGCGCCCAAAAATAACTTACATTTGATAAGCTCTTCATATAGACTGGGGTGTCTAACAACCCATAAGGGTCAGTCATGACCTTTTCTGTTAAGGGGCAATATTTGAGACCTGAAATTAAGGACAGTTCTTCTAATTACCTTATTAAATTAAATATCTGTGCTGTGTTTTATCAAATACTTAAATTTGACCAATTACTTCAATCAGAATACTATAGACTTTGCTACAGATCCACTATAAACTACTGTTACCAATCAAGTTTTATAAACCTCAATAAAAGCCATCTCTACACTGGAAAGGTCAAACAGAAGCTGCATCTGACATGGCATTTATGTTTATTATTATGTTCAATGCTGTTCAAAGGTGGCATACATGTATTTACAAAAAAAAATACAGTGTAAATAGCTTACATAAAGTATATAAATGAATGAAAACAAAGTCATTGAGGGTAGGGCTGCAATATTACGACAAAAATCATTATTGTCAATTATTGCTCGTTAATAATCATTATCAGTGTCCTCTTTTTAGAGCTGCTTTACAGCAGAATCGAATTTTGTTTGCATCATTGAAACATAATTTTCCTGTTTAACACTGTAAATCTGCTTTGACGCAATCTGAATTGCGATGTAAAAGAAAAAGTGATTCATCAGACCAGGCCACCTTCTTCCATTGCCCCATGGTCCAGTTCTGATGCTCACGTGCCCACTGTTGGGCTTTCGGCAGTTGGACAGGGGTCAGCATGGGCACCCTGACTGGTCTGCAGCTATGCAGCCCCATACGCAACAAACTGTGATGCACTGTGTGTTCTGACACCTTTCCATCAGAACCAGCATTAACTTCTTGAGCAGTTTGAGCTACAATAGCTTGTCTGTTGGATCAGACCACACGGGCCAGCCTTTGCTCCCCACGTGCATCAACCCTGTTGCCAGTTCACCAGTTTCTTCCTTGCACCACTTTTGATAGATACGGACCACTGCAGACCAGGACACCCCACAAAAGCTGCAGTTTTGGAGATGCTGACTCTGACCCAGTCGTCTAGCCATCACAATTTGTCCCTTGTCATACTCGCTCAAATCCTTACTCTTGGCCATTTTTCCTGCTTCTGACACATCAACTTTGAGGACAAAATGTTCACTTGCTGCCTAATATATCCCACCCGCTGACAGGTGCTGAGAGATAATCAGTGTTATTCACTTCACCTGTCAGTGGTCATAATGTTATGCCTGATCGGTGTATTTGAGAATGAATGACTCTTATGAGTCAGTTATTTTAAGGAATCACACAAAACTCAAGGAGGTACAGGGTGGGGGTGAGGTTTCTTCACTGTGGAAACACTGGTTGAGTCGAAAGTCACTGTCTGTAACTAACTGTAACTGTGTATAAATTTGACTGTGGACATTGGTTGGATGTCTGATTTTGTGTCTCTCATGTGCATGTAGGGGTATAGACCTACTCTCCATTCTGACGCAGGTGAACAGCGATGTGAGCAAAAAGACGGACAAAAGCGGTTTGAGGAAGCAGATGCCACAGCCAGAGTTCACCCTCACCAAGAGAGTGGTTTTCCCTCCACCCAAAACTCACCGACCCCTTCCATAATGTCCTGCTGCAGTCCATGACCTCTCAGACAGCATACACAGCACATACACAAACACACAGATGTTCATCAATGTTTACACGTTGAGCAGGGGTGATGATTATCTTCTTTAATTTAAACAAGGGTAAGGTCCTGAAAATACGGTTCACATACAGTAATTTTGACTTACCTAACAAAAAAATTTATATTTTAGATATTTAATGTAATAAACAAATATGGAGTTGTTTTTAAATTATAATGTCAATAACATCATGAAGTGTTAAAAGAACATTTAATTTCCAAATTCACCCCAAAACAGTGCTGTTTATGTTTCTGCTGGGGGGAGAAAAAAAGCTTGTACTAGGATTATTGCACTTGTATGTATTTGTCCAGGGGGCACGACACTCTAAAGCACTTTTGTTTGTCGCTCTAGATAAGAGCATAAATGGATAGTTTCCACACAAGTGTGGACTGTTGCAACTAGCAGTTTATTAGTAAAATAATGATATTTCAATGACAAGGGAAAGCCTGCTGCAGCTGCTGTTTATTGCCATCTGCACTCTAAATAAAAATTGTATGTTGACCTATTCATGAGATGTTTAACTCGAGGGGCTGGGTAAACACACAAAAGTCCTGAGCATCTACAGACTCAGTAAACAGCCTTACCAAAGAGAAATGAATACAGCTGCTCACAAAAGAAAGTAGACACAGAGCTTTTTACAATTCACTACAAAGTAAAACTTTGACTTAAGTTTTAAACAATATATTGTTTTACGCAATTTTGTTGTTGTTTTCCCATTTGAGATATTTTGTTTAATTGAATGTTTAAGTGTGACATCAGTATGATGTTATTAGCAGAGAGATGGGCATAAATACATGAAAATGTATTTAAAATACAAATACACAATACTGTGTGGGAAAATGCTCTAAAAATACAAATACACAATACTGTGTGGGAAAATGCACTTAAAATACAAATACACAATACTATGTGGATAAATGCATTTAAAATACAAAATACTGTGTGGAAAAATGCACTTAAAATACACAATACTGTGTGGAAAAATGCACTTAAAATACAAATACACAATACTGTGTGGATAAATGCATTTAAAATACAAAATACTGTGTGGAAAAATGCACTTTCAATACACAATACTGTGTGAAAAAATTTATTTAAAATACAAATACACAATACTGTGTGGAAAAATGCACTTAAAATACAAATACACAATACTGTGTGGAAAAATGTATTTAAAATACACAATACTGTGTGGAAAAATTTATTTAAATTACAAATACACAATACTGTGTGGATAAATGCATTTAAAATACAAAATACTGTGTGGAAAAATGCACTTAAAATACACAATACTGTGTGGAAAAATGCACTTAAAATACACAATACTGTGTAGAAAAATGCACTTAAAATACAAATACACAATACTGTGTGGAAAAATGTATTTAAAATACACAATACTGTGTGGAAAAATTTATTTAAATTACAAATACACAATACTGTGTGGATAAATGCATTTAAAATACAAAATACTGTGTGGAAAAATGCACTTAAAATGCACAATACTGTGTGAAAAAATGCACTTAAAATACAAATACACAATACTGTGTGGAAAAATGTATTTAAAATACAAATACACTGTGGGAAAATGTATTTAAAAATACAAATACACAATACTGTGTGGGAAAATGCACTTAAAATACAAATACACAATACTGTGTGGAAAAATGTATTAAAAATACAAATACACTGTGGAAAATGCACTTAAAATACAAATACACAATACTGTGCGGAAAAATTTATTTAAAATACAAATACACTGTCGAAAAATGTATTTAAAATACAAATACACTGTGGAAAAATTTATTTAAAATACAAATACACAATACTGTGTGGAAAAATGTACTTAAAATACAAATACACAATACTGTGTGAAAAAATGTACTTAAAATACAAATACACAATACTGTGTGGAAAAATGCACTTAAAATACAAATACACAATACTGTGTGGGAAAATGTATTTAAAATACACAATACTGCGTGGAAAATTTTATTTAAAATACAAATACACTGTGGAAAAATGTATTTAAAATACAAATGCACAATACTGTGTGGAAAAATGCACTTAAAATACAAATACACAATACTGTGTGGAAAAATTTATTTAAAAT